CAAATCGTGAACATTTGTCCGTGGTTGCGCGGGCACCCATGAATCCCGCCTGGCATTGCCCCACGAAGCAAATGGTGACAGGCGGCTAATACCATAAACGAACTGTACCCCGGATGGGTAAACTATCTCACAAATGGTTTGGATGATACCCCGAACACGTCGTTAAGCTCTCTTTTATAAGGGATCCACACGCGAATTGCCACCCTAATGGCGTACTAAAAAATACGAGAGCAATGACGAATCGGGAAGAAAATCGACCTTCTCCGATTTGCAAGAAAGTTCACATAATTGTTAGTTATGGGCAGTGATTCTCATTTTTTTTTTAAATTCGGCCATTTTGAACCTTGCAAAATTTTCAAAATTATGTCTATGTAATTTTTTAAAAAATTGTAGCGTGCAAACAGCATTTCTGATCGAAATGACGTTTGAGACAAAGTAGTAGAGAAAAAATATTTTTTTTTGGGAAAAATATTCTAAAGCTCTTTTTTTATATAATTTGATTGAAAAATTCAATGCCTATTTTTAAATTATATATTAGAAGCTCATGCAAAATTAAACCCTTTGAAATTTTTAAAATAAAGAACTCTTAAAAATTTAGAACAATCGTTGAACAAGAACATCTGGAATAAATGTTTGAACATTTTGTGAAGAGGATTGTTTATGTAAGGAAACATCCATAAATGACTTAGATTTTTTTTTGACAATTTTAGACCTTCCCTCTCTCCTGTCGTAGCTTCCCGAGTAACATTTTAGGTTTTATGAAATACTACAAAGCAACTATAAAACAACATTCATAAAACCCTTGTCATTAATGCATTCACCAAAACCTCATTAAGACTAGAATATGTGTAGTTGGCCCATCCTGGAGAAGGTTCTGAAGGGTGTATTTTCGAGTCTCTTCAAGATTGATTTACTGCAAAAAGTTGTATGATGAACGCATTGAGAACCATTTTAAAGCTACAACAAAAGCTATTAAGCAATAATAAAAACCCTTTCCGAGCCATTTCCCCTAGCCGCATGCTGAATCAACTAGAAAAGCATCAATCAAGATAGAAAAGGATTTATGATTCCGATCTTTTCAAAATAATTAAAATAGAAACTGATGGTATTAAAATCTTGTTGAATATCCAAATTTATTACAATAGTTCTCATTAAATGGCCTAGTTTTAAGTGCCATATCAAATTTTATGTGAAATGAACGTGAAAACATCGAAAAAATTAAGCCCACCCTCGTAAAACGTCGATTTGACTAATTATTTAACATTGAAAACAAAAATATATCCTTCAGATCGAGCTTGCTCGAGATTTTCTTTTATTATTTTCGCATTTAAATGTTTGTTCATTGTTAAATTTACTAAAATATAGTTATATCTAAGGAAATATTGATTGAAAATCGAAGATTGTAAAACGCAAGCAAACTAATCGTAACATGGCGGTGGCATAAAAGTTGATTTTCATGGGTCATTTGTGAAAAAGTTGTTTTGCTTTCAAGAATTCCTTAACAAATTGATAAGGTTTTAAAATGGCTTTTATGAAGAAAACTTGCAGGCTGAATTGTATTTATCTTAAGCCATTTTGCTTGATCTTAACCCGTTCAGATTTATGGCAGCATTTATGGAGGCAAAGTTGCCTGCAAAAAGTTAAACGTCAAAGTTTGTTTATCTTTCGATAGTTGCGCTGAGAGATCCAGGATTCTTCCAGGCGATTTTCTCCCGATGGTTTGGGAGCAAAACAACAATACAACATTTCGCATTTCGAACAGCTGGAAGCGCAATCGTTTCCGAAAAAGATCCCCTTCTTCCGGATGGTTACAGAAGTGCACCATCCAATGATGCAGAGATGTACGGTTGAATGAAATTTTCGAAGAGTCTTTTGCCGAATAAAAAATGCTTTGGATCGGAAACCAGCTGATCTCCGCTAACTAACAGTTTCAGTGGTTTGCTGTCGGTTTTTGTTTCGATTGTCATCGCAAGATCTGGAGAAGGCTGGTATGTTTTTCAACTTTCGACAATGTTTTATGAGTTCGAGGGCCCGCTCACTTTAGTCTTCTCCGACAGATGGTCAGTCGTTGGTGGTGTGTTGGTTCTTCTAAAGAAGTAAATTTATCTGAAATAGACTTTATTTTTTCATCCTACTTCGTCTATCCTTCGAGATTTCCGTGTCATAAATTTGGCATTTATTAACTATGAGGAACCATCTTTTAAGCTCAATTTGTAAACAGAGTAATCGGGGAGTTAATGATGCTTTAAAAAAAAAGGTTAAAAGCAACAATAAATGCTTTTTTCTCTTATGCAAAACCTGTTTTATGGTTGATTTTATAATGATAGAACACGTTTATAAAGTATTTTATCCTGACATTAATAAACAATTGCTAATGACGTTTATGCTTGAATTACAGAACAGTTTTAAGGAGGGATTGAAAACTGTTTTAAATTTATTTTTAAAACAAGACAGTTTTTGACTTTCTTGCCAGACTATAAAAGGTTTTTAAAACAGCAAAAAGCTGAATTACTAAGCAGGAATGTTTTACACTTTAAAATGTTATATTTAATCTAAATGGATTGTTCATTGCCGTTATAAAACCATCATAAATCAGAGTGGATGCTAAATGGTTACTGAATTGTTACTTGGGTTATGTTGCTATATCCAGTACATTTCCAGTTTATTTTTCCAGAAAGACTTTATTTTTCTCTTCAACTTTGTCTCAGACATCATTTCGATCAGAAATGCCGATTCCGGGCTACAATATAAAAAAAAATCAAGGATACCATCTTGAACGTTTTACAAGATCCAAAATAGTCGAAATTCAATAAAAAGCAGAACCATTGCCATTTCAAACAATTAGGCAAAATTTCACACAAATCTGATAAGGTCGATTTAAATTTCAGTTTCTTTTCAATAATTTTCCTTGAACTGCTCACGGGTCGAATATTTTTCGAAAAGGAACCAAATTACCAATTGTTATGAAATTCTTAGATCCACTCTAACTTTTTTTTCTGTGAAATTGCTGTACCATACCCTCTTTTGTAAGAAGAGAAAAGCCATACAGCTCTTTGAACTTTTACGCAGGGTAAAAAAATGCAATGTTATGTGTACCTATGCAGTTCAAGAAAAAATCATCCACTTCCTGGATACGGCCATTGCAAATAGACTGAACAGGGAGAACCGCAGTAAGTCCCTTTTTCATTCAACTTTACTGCCAGGACCTTTTTTTATTTGGAAAATTGTGGCGTTGATGGCATTTCAAACGAGGAAAAAACCATCCTGTGTCTTTCCACTGAAATTTTATTCAATTTTCCTCGCTTGCCTTCGTGCTCGGTTAGCACACAAAAAAAGATTGCACCCTGAAAGGGTCAGCATAAACGTCACCACTCTGCTGTGCAGTAGTGGTTGATAGGAAGCTTGTAATGAAAATTGACACGTACCTACCGCTTCTTGGTTATTCAGGTCGAAGCTGCGGAAAAGCAAACTGAAGAATTTTCTGCTGCACTTAAAATTGAATTTTATCGAGATTTGAAGGAAGCTCTGTAGGATTGTTTGCTTTGAGCGGAAAATTTTCAACTCAGCAAACTTTTCCCTGCATCAGTGGTTTGAAATTCAAGAACAGGAATGTTCAATGATTGGATTTTCGCTTAGCAAGCATCCCACGGAAATTGTTCCTTAATCTTTGCATTTTATGCCATCCTTTTGAACTTTTGCAAGTCAATTAATTACTTCGTTTAACAGTAAAATTAGTACTCGTAAAACTTTATCTTTCTTCTACCACTATCAAACAGGTTTCATATCGGTTGAATCAGCATCGAACTCCTTGAGACGTAAGATAACTTAGCATCTGCTCATAAACGTCTGCACACACACACACACATGCTCACCCCCCTCCAACCACAAACCAATTTGTGTGGGAGGAATTATGATGCATTACAACCCCGAAAGCAAATTACGATCTTTTGCGAGCAAAGTTGTTAGCTTGGTCTTGCGAGGCATAAAGATTAACTTTCACCGTTGAGCTACTCGCTCCGTCTCTCATTTTCGCTTGATCTAAAACTCTGTCTGGTAAAGCTGAAGCGGGTGCTGTACGGTGGCAACCAAGATCCACTAAAGCAGCATCGGATGACTATCGAGAAAATGCAAACCACATAATCGAAGCAGGAATTTCATCATCTTGCGCTGCTGCAGTGGAGCAAGCGGAGCCTTTGAGAATGGAAATTCCTGATTCCTCGTGAGCCAGGTTGTTGACTAGCAGGTTCAATGCGGAGTGGGTTGTGAATATTTATTAGATCAAAATGTTTGGTTAGATTCCCTTGAGGTGGGAGAGGCCTGGGAGGGTTTGTAATTTAAAAAATACCCATAACGAGGGGAAGTTTTGAATTTAGGATTAAGTAGTTTTCGCCTAGTTGGTATATTTATGCCTTGTTCAGACTACAGAGTTATAGGGTAGATGTACCGGTTATGACTATTCGTTCCTAATATATTGTGTTCCAATTATGTCCTATGAAATTTCCATACCATGATAGGAACATACATCCATAACTGGTCCATCTACCCTATCATGTTTTGATAAATATTGACTAGAAAAATGGCATCACGATTTATAACTGCTCAGTCTGGTCAGTGATTTAGATGTACTACCTCTGCCACAATATTATTTATTTAGAAGCCTCTCAGGGATTTTTATTAAACCGATTCAAAACGTTTTTTATTTTATTTTAATAATTCACCAAGTACACAATTCACAATTAATTTATCAAAATATATGAAATTCATATGTTAATCTATTTATTTATTAATTTATTCGTCAATCAAAAACGTAGACTACATAATAACATTTCATGACTGTGAAATTTGTTTTTAATTTTTGCCGCGAGTTTCCACTGTCCCCAATACTAACGGTCACAGGGACACCGTGCTTCTACAACAAGAGACAAATCAGCTTTAAAATCTTAAAGCCTTTGTAACATAAAAAAAACTAAATGCATTTCCTCTTCTCCCATTCTTTCCAGCGCGTGCAAACTATCGGACAAAAATAGGGCCGACCGGCTTGCGCGTCCACGAATGTCACTGCTGGGGAAGCCGCTCAACTATAACCGCGGCTCACGACGTGATGCCCGTTATAGGCGGCTACAGAGCAGGGTCTACAACTTTCTGGAACGACCGCGGGGCTTCAGAGCGATTTTCTACCATGTACTTGTGTAAGTATGATTTGAAATTCCCTCCGTTGATCGAACGGTGTCTGCACCGGAGAAGATAAGTATCCCACCCTGTTTGCGACCTTCACCTTCAGCATGCACACTCAACGAAAGAAAGCGGACTCAGACAATCAGAGGGACGCATCCGTAAATATTTGACCATCCCACGTCAGTCAACCGCCCATAACCAGTTCTGGTCATAAATCAAAAAATGTTTACCCGTAGGTCTGCAGAGAAGGATACCGTACTAATGATGACAGCAGCTGTCAGCTCGCCCGTATTTTTTATTGTTTTTAACCATTTTTCCAGCGAGCCCCACTCACTCCACCCCAGGCCAGCTACAAATCATATATACGATAAATAAATTACTCGCACCAAACTTTTTCCACCGTCTGCCGCTGTTTCAACTCAGAAACTATCATTATCGGTATCAACTAAGTTCCCTCTTAATCAACACCAGCAACGGGTGTGCAGGAATCTAGAAACTTTTGCCTCCGGCTAAATCAATTACCCTGGTAACGGGTAATAAAGTTCTAATTAAATTTTCATCACCCGCCCACAAAGTGGCTTTTCCAACGCAAAATAATGGCTGCTCCAATCAAGTCGCAACAAAGACAGACAGCTTTCGGAAAAGCTTCACAAAACTCTCTTTGGGGCTGTTCATAAGCCACGTAGACACTTTAGGGGAAAATTAGAAATTTCTACAAATTGGTATTGATCATTGTCTACGCAGGGAGAGGTCTAAAACCTCTAAAACATTGTTAACGTTGTTTACGAACGGCCCCTTTCCGCGCTATTTGACATTCGACCGAGCCTATCCTTTCCCGATATTTCTTTCCCTTCCTTTTTTGTTCTCGGACGACACAATTTGGTTTGTCATGTCGTTAACGTTGGCAAATCATTGAGCCGCGAATTGGTTCGAGACCAACTTTTTCGATTTCCCCTCAAGGCTGAAACTGCCGTGTAATGGGGGAATTTGTTTTGCAAGTTGAATTTGTGTTTACTGGGAATTCCTAGAACTCGGCGCAGTGATTTAAAATCGGTAAAACAGGCGTTTTAATAATTACGCGAAAATGGATTTATTTAGACATACATTGTTTATTCATTTGAACTTAATTTTTTAATCCACCAAGCATGGAGATAGAATAATCATTTTTTTTAAGTGGACATAGCAAAATGATACCTTGGACAAAGTTGTATATAATATTAAACAAGCATTTTTGTTAAAGGCATCAACTCTCTACCTTTTACGTTTTTTGAGATATGTAAGGTTTTTGAAAGGAGACTGCTAAAAATCAATGGCTTGTCAATAACTTTTCCCGTAGTGATTTACCATTGTGAACATTTGGCACACAAAAAAAGACTCATAAATATACTTCAATTTGTATTTGAAAGTAAGTTTCTATCTTTTATATTTTATGAGTTACTAGCTGAGTGTCCCGGTCTTGCTCGGGATTCAATATTAGCTTGAGTTTATGGGTCAGTTAAAAAAAAAGGTTTATTGTACGTAGCCTTCCCCCCCCCCCTTTTATCTAAGGGGCTACACCCTATGATCTCCACATGCCAAATTTGGTTCCATTTGCTTGATTAGATCTCGAGTTATGCAGAAATTTATGTTTAATTTGTATGGGAGCCCCTCCACCCCTTACAGAAGAGGAGGGGTCTCGAACCATCATAAGAATCGAGGGGGAAGACGGCTTTCATTTGAGCACCTCTTTTACTCAGAGTAGCCCAGAGCTACTCTGCACTAAAAAATATTACAAAACGAAACAAGATTAAATTTTAAGCATTCTACGATTAACCAATATATATACATTATTCCGATTAAAATTTGATTTCAAAAGTATGCTAAGTCCGCATAAAGACGGAGAATTTATTCAGTGTATATACCAAGTGCCAAACTCGTCCAAAATCAGAGAAGAAAAAGCGCGACACGTGGAAGTTGTGCTATTCGTTCCAGAATGTACAGGACAAACAAGATTTCTATTAAGCATCAGCAGAAGTTTATCTCTGATAGGTTTCGGTAAGTTTTATGAATGAGTGTCTGTTGTGGTAAGGTAATTGAGATGATTTTTTGATTTCGTAGGTCCAAGGCATCCACGATTAATGCACCCCGCAGTTCTACTAAAACGCATGCTCGCTTAGCTCCACGGTAGAAGGCGAGAACATATTGAAGTTCACCGTGTACCAGATCCTTTACATCTTCCCTTAGTATTGATCTCAACGAGGATCTCAAGCTACGTTCAGGCCAGACCGTGGGGGAATTTCCGTAGATTCGTCAATCTGTGCTGGGAGCTGTGATTGATTAGTTTATTGGTTTACCCTAAAGAAACTGTTATGTTATTAATAAACTATTCTTCATGACTAGCTTTTATTTTATATGTAAACACAAATTAAGACCACGCACTAAAAAAGAAGCCATAAAAGCATTCTGAATAAATCGTACGTATGCATTTCAGGTATATTTCTTTTTATGCTGTGTCACGTATAAACCATTTTTATACTAAGTGAGCATTCTCTCTCTTTATATCAAGCTATGCGTCGGTCAGGAGAGTTGCGATTTATCGTAACTTTTAATCAGATTTGAAAATCCTTTGAGTGTGGTTTGCTCTATAGATACTATAGATTCCATAGATAAGCGGAGGAAAAGAATAATGTAGCCAAACGAACTGTCAGTTAGTGTAGCCAAACGAGCATGACGTCATCATGGTGTTGTTTGAGGGAGAAGTATTGTAATATTATGAGCACAAAACGCTTTCCACTCTCCACACTCCGATTTATTTCGCGGACAACGGAAGAAGGAAAGATAAAGCAACCCATTTCTCGATTCATTGTTGCAAAGATTTACTTTGCACTTTATTTTGAATCTTTACACACGAAACAAAACAAAACTGCATAACGAAGAGCTCTATGATGGCATGAACTTTTTTCACGGATGCCAGTAAGATCATTTATTTTTCATGGTTGCCAAAACAACTTTTTGTGCCTCCGCTTATCTATGCAATCTATAGTATCTATAGTTTGCTCTGGGATCTGATCTAATTTGTGACGAAAAAGAATTAGTAGGGCATATAGTTTTGGAATCTGACCATGCAAATGTCAGTTCAATAACGAAACAAAAACAATTAATGAAGAAAATAAATGGATGCAATATTTAAATAAGGAAATGATCTCGAGCCGGCGCCGCTGGTGTAGTGGTAAGCGTGACTGCTTTCTAACACTCCAAATGGTCTGGGTTCAATCCCAGCCGAGGTCGGTGGGATTTTTCTGAGGCATACAAATCTCTGGTCACGTCTTCCTTCGGAAGGGAAGTAAAGCCGTTGGTTCCGGCCCATGTGTGTTGAATGGGTGCGATATCCTACGCAGGTGTGGAAGCTGCCTTCCTGCATATTCGATTGCCGTCAATGGATAGCAATCGATGTCCGTCGGTGATGCGGAACAGAGACCGACGTTAAATAAAGGAATGAAGAAGAAGAAGAAGAAGCAGAAGAAGAAATTATCTCGTTTTCTACCAGTTCATTGAAGTGTTGGCTATTTTCTTAAATCACACTGATGATGGCTTTCTGCAGCGCACTTTTCTTTTTGCAATAGTAATGAAATTGACCAGGATCTTGCTACCGTAGTACTGGGTATCCAGATGCTTAGAGCAAGCGAATGGATATTCCCTTCCGGCTACCAGCTCCGGTGGGAACATGTACTTGAGGATGAATCCTGTGACGGTCTCGGTTGCTAGAACAGGAAAATACAAACGTACAAACTATTCCACCAAACCCCCAAATACGCCCCCTATCCCCATTTATTTTGTATCAAAACAGCAACGTTATTGCGTGATGTTTGTTTTGCTAGCAGGTTCTCCGATGAATTGAGTGTATTTTACGGCATAGATCACCGGCTGAAAAAACTAACGTTCCTTTACACCGAAAACATTGATTGCTTGGGCTGCGCTGTCAAAAAAATCGGGATAACAAAATCGTTCATCAGAGAGTAAAAGAGTTCCTCAGAGCTACTCTGGATTGCTCTTAATTTCTCACTGTCTTCCCCCTCGATAAGAACCTTTCCCTTTCCCAAAAACCCTTGCATACAAATTTTCACACCGATCGGTTCAGTAGTTTCCGCGTCTATAAGGGTCAGACAAACAGACAGACAGACAGACAGACAGACAGACAGACAGACAGACAGACAGACAGACAGACAGACAAGCCAGACAAGACAGACAGACAGACAAGACAGACAAGACATACAAGACAGACAAGACAGACAAGACAGACAAGACAGACAAGACAGACAAGACAGACAAGACAGACAAGACAGACAAGACAGACAAGACAGACAAGACAGACAAGACAGACAAGACAGACAAGACAGACAAGACAGACAAGACAGACAAGACAGACAAGACAGACAAGACAGACAAGACAGACAAGACAGACAAGACAGACAAGACAGACAAGACAGACAAGACAGACAAGACAGACAAGACAGACAAGACAGACAAGACAGACAAGACAGACAAGACAGACAAGACAGACAGATAAGACAGACAGACAGGCAAAAATTCATTTATATATATAGAAGATAGATTCATAATTTTGACCCAAAAATAGTACTTTATCTAAGACCAGCATTTCAAACCTGGGTGAACTTGGGCAAATCAAACATATTGAATTTGAAAGAAGAACTAAAGTGCTGCCCAATCCATATAATATCATTAGTTTTCAATAGTTAACTCCACCGATATGCTTATTCTGAAACTACAAAGGAATTGTATTGGATTGATTTTTTTTTTTACAAATCATAACAATCATAACAAATGAATATTTTCTTTCGGATTTCAATACATTTTCTTATAGTTTCACAATATGTATATTATACTGATGCAAAATTTGACATTTTCGCTCCTTAGTGCTCAAGCGGTTCCAAATCGGGTCTAGATTAGCCTCCCAAGGTTCAAACCTTTGACTGATTTGGTAAAAAAAACTGACAAGGCACAAACCATTTGAAGT